TGGTGACACACGTCTTTAATCCCAGGAAGTGATGGCAGGAAGCAGAAAGATATAGAAGGCATGAAAACCAGGAACTAAGGTCAGTTAAGCTTTTAGGCTTTTAGCAGCAGTTCAGCTGAGATCCATTCAGATGAGGACACAGAGGCTTCCAGTTTGAGGAAACAAGGTCAGCTGAGGAATTGGCAAAGTGAGGTTAGCTGTGGCTGGTTCTATTTCTGTGATCTCCCAGCATTCACCCCAATACCTGGCTCCAGGTTTGTTTTTATTAATAAGACCTTTTAAGATTCGTGCTACAAATACAGTGCTCAATACTATTAGAGTTTCAATTTATAGTAGCTACATCATAAAAATTTAAAGAGACTCCAGAGAAATGGTTCAGTAGTTAAGTATGAGTATCACTCTTATAGAGAACCCTGATTCATTTCCCAGCACCCACATTGGGCAGTTCACAACTGACTGTAACCCCAACTCTAGGGAACTGCTACCCACTTCTGGCCTTCTTAGGTACCTAATGTACCCATATCTACCTCCCCAACCACCCCCCCACAGACACATAATTAAAAATAAAATGAACCTTCAAAGTTTTAGAGAAACAGGTAAAATTTACTATATAATGTAACTCATTTACGTCTACATCCAAAATATTATCATTTCAACATGTAACCAATATTTTTTAAGGACTGAGATATATTCAATGTTTTGGTTGTTGTTTGAAGCCAGGAATCCTATGTGTATCTGGCAGAGAACCTTGGTACCTCACATCCATACCTCAGTGCTTATAGCCTGTGTGGCCAATGCTGATCCAGAGGTTTCAAACGAGTTTGTGGAGATGTTCTTTCCAGTGCTCACCTCCAAGAGGTGACCCAGCCAGGGAAAGCAAAGCTCGAAAGGGTGGACTAGGACATTTGGGTTTTATTTACTTGTTGGTTTGTTGTTGTTTCTCAGTCAGTCTCACAATGTGGCCCAGTCTGGCCTCCAGATTTTGCCAATCCTCCTATCTCGGTCTGCCAAGTGCTGGGATTTCAGTCATGTACCGATATACCCAGCTTAGCACTCTCAGATTTGAGGATAGGAATATGAATGTGATATGAATGGGCTGCCCGGGGCCAATCTTTGAGAGTCCTTGCTCTAATGGGTATGGTAGCCCCTATGTGTAATCTTAGAATTCAAGAGGCTCTGACAGAAGCGTTACAAGTTTGAGGGTAGCTTGGGCTACTTGGCAAGAAATTGTTCAAAAGAGCAAGAACAACAAGAGACCTCCAAGTTCAGCCCATACTTTCAGTAACGGTGTTCAGAACCGAGACCCCTGCTTCTGCCTGCCAATTATTCTGCTCTCTGCAAGAAGCTATGAGTCCAGGTTGCCAGAAGAGAGATGATCTGAAAGGCCTCTGGCGTGGTGCCCACATGTCATATGAGGGGCCACAAGCCTGGCTTCCAGGGATGGGTGGTGGACTTCACAGCACCCTGTAACAAGCCTCATGTCACAGATCTTTTTATTGCCTAAAATTTCAGAAAGAAACCAGTAAGTTGAGGTCTGCTATCTTTTATTTCAAGGATGGCTTTTTGTCAGATTTGGTGATATTTGCATGTACATAATGATAGAGGACCCAAATATAAATACAAAGCTCATTTGTTTCATATGTACCTCATACATATAGATTGAAAGGAATATTATGTAATTTTCAAATTTATTTTGCTCATGAAATAGTATCATTATGTGGAATTTCCTACTTCTATTATGTCTGTGCTCAAAAGTTTCAGGTTTTAGATCATTTCAGATGTCACATTTGGGGTTAGGGATGCTTATTCTATGACAGGAGGCTAAGAAAGGCACTTAATGTGAGCACTGGGTCTGTGGAGGTACTTACTGTGTGAGAATGCTCTCCGGGACCTCACTGCGGTTCTGGTGACATTAGAAGGTGCTTTCTCCACCGGCTGGTGGGTGTGCCTCTGAAGCACTTGAAGGCCCCAGGCACTTGGCATTGGGTAAAACCAGGCTCTTGACCTGAGCAGCAGCAGAGCCACTGACAGCAGAGCTGAGCAGATGAAAGCACTTCCAAACGTTTTTACTCAGAGCAGCCTGAGACCCACTGTGCCTGTGGGCAGCCTTTTCTCCTCTTGAAACCCAACCCCCCCTCCTGCCCTAGTGGAGTAACAGACTGGCCAATCCCCTTTCCGGGTACTCAATCGATGTGGCGGAGGCTTTAACATGAACCATGTTTTTTCCAAAAACTGCTTAACTGGGGTATTTGTCATAGTAACCAAAAGCTTAGTAACATGGTATCGAGTGTGCTGAACTACCAAATACCAGTGAAACTAAGGGTGATGAATTCATGGAGTTTCTCAGTGACAGACACCTTTCTTATTATAATTGTTCTATTTTTATGTTGTTTCTGTTATGGTACAGGGCCTCAAGTACTCAGGTTGTTCTTGAAATCACTATGTAGTACAGGTTGGCTTTGAACCCTTGATCCTCCTGTCTCTACCTTCCAAACGCTGGGATTACAGATATGTGCCACCATGCCCACAATGTCAGACACTTCTAACAGTTTCAGTATGTCAACCTGTTTGGACCACACAGCAGTACATTGGAAAGAGGGCTAGAATGACTTCCATTTATGTAGGAGGGTGACATGGCTCAGATAAGTTGGATGACTTGCCCAAGATGATTCACTGGTGCACAGTGAAGCCAGGACTCAGAGTAATGTAATGTCATTTATGTTCTAGAAACACCTAGAATTTGAACAGGCTTCCCCTCTCACCCAGCAACATCAGCAGAATCAAAATTTTAGTTTCAGAATTTGTTTCTGGACTTGAGGAACAAAGGCCATATCAGACCTCATATTCATTTCTTGTATCATTAGGGCCAAATTACTGCAACAAACAAGTTACACTGAGAAAGATATATTTTTAATTGATTTGAAGAATTTTAGTCCATAGTTCTTGTTCCATTGATTCTGTGTTGAGACAGAATGTCATGGCATCTGGTAAAGGCTACTCACTGCATGTCAGACAAGAAGCAAAGGGACAGGAAAAGACAGGGATCCAGTTCAAAGACACATACACCCACACCACTACCACCACTACCTGGGCTAGAGAGATAGCTCACTGGTTCAGAACATTAAATGCTCTTCTAGAGGACCTTAACTCTATTCTCAGCACCCACATAGCAGCTCACAACCATCTGTAACTCCAGTTCCCAGGGATCAGACACTCTCTTCTGGCTTTTGCAAGGCACCAGGTAAGCATGTTCTGAGGACATATGTGCAACCAAACGCTTATAAACATAAAATAATGAAATTTTAAAAATCAAAGATATGCCCCCAGGAACCTACTTCCTTAAGCCAGGCTCCGCCTTCCCAAGTTTCCACCCTCTGCAAAGTAGTGCCACCACCAAGGGGCCACAGCCTGTGGAAGACATTTCACATTCAAACCACAACAGAGTCAGGTTTCCCAACTTCCTGTTTCGTATCCACAGGAGATCTGACCACCGCTACAGTGCTGGACTGTGGGCAGGGCCTCTTGGCATCAAGTAAACTTCGCTTCAGTGGAGTAACTTTTAAAAGCCAACATGACCCCACCCGTCACTGAACCTCACTCCCGATCTGTGCTTCGAGCCTGAGGCATGGGTGTAAGGAGGTAGGAAGTGCCAGGAGAGAACCTTCGGAGAAGAATTGAAAAGGTTCCAAAAGTTCACTGGAGGACAACAGGAAAGACTCTTCCAGGAAGAGAGGATGTTGAACATTCAGTGGGCGAGAGGACAGCAGAGTAGGGGGGTCCAGAGAGGTGGGACAATCACCCAACATCCATGTCTTGGGACCAGAAGTGATCTGCGGAAGGGTCATTTAAGAGTCTCTCTGGAGTCCAGAGTTGTAGGGAAAGCACAGTACTCTTCCCCCCTAAACAATTGCCCCACTCTTTCTCTTTCTGAGGGCACAGGTCCTATAGGTCCCTCCCATGGAGACCATGATAGAAATAGGACCAAAGGAAAAAGCAGACACATTTCAGGGGTGATCGCAAAAGGGGTGGAGGACTGTGTGGCCACTTATCAGTTCATTTGGGTGAGCAAAACCAGAGACAAGGTTGGAGACCAGCTCTTTGGTGGCCCAGTACTGATCATACATGTCCCCAGCCCAAGCCTAAATGGGGCACAATGACAGTCTCCCCACCAAGGACCACCTTCAGTGGTCCTGAAGCATTTGGCTCCATCTTCTGTACAACTGTCCCAGCCACATAGCATGGGATGTGGGGGCTCCCTCCTCCCCAGGCAGCTAGGGAGTCACTTTACATCCTGATCCATAGAGAGCAGATAAACCAAGTCATGTTTGCTAGGGCCACCTCTCCACTGATGCCCTGTATTAGCATTTTAACTGAAGGGGAGGGCTGCCTGCTGACAGTCTAGCAGTGAGATTGCTCTAGAGAGGCAGGGGAAACCCAGACTGGGAAGCCATCTTTCCTGACCACCCTCCTCTCTAGGGACATTGTGGCTGGACACCTCCATGGATGACTGCAAGGGGGGAGTTCCCAGGCCTCTCCACCAGTGGACTTTACCTATTCTCTAAGCACCTAGGAGACAGAGGTTACTTTCTTTTTCCAAAAATAAATATATTTTATTATGTATTTATGGGATGCAGGTGCATGCATGCCACAGTGGGAAGTGAAGGTCAAATTTCTCTTCTTGTGGGTCCCAGGGATGGGAGTCAGATCTTCAGACTTGAGAACAAGTACTTTTATCCCTGAGCCATCTCATCTGGCCAAGGTTAGTTTTCTTTGGGGGTTATCTTTAGTTCTTCTACTACCTCTCCATTTCCTGAGGACCTCAATTCCACACAGATTCAACTTAAAGGTTCGGGGGCAGTATTGTAGCTTCCAA